CTCATTTTGTTTGTTTTGTTCATCAGGAGGAAGAAAATGAAGTACTTCTTTATGTAACACAGAAGCATCAGCTTTCAAAACTTTCAAAGATCCCACCATTGAAGACACTTGCAAAGCATTTTCATCACATTTCATGAGATCTTTCATTGATGAAATCAAGCTCTTCATTTGATTCACCTTAGCCTTGCGCTCCTTTTGCAATGCCTCAATTTTAAGCGTCAATGCTTTTGCCGTAAGCTTGGGCTCTCTTTTGCTACTCACAGCAGCGTGCGCAGCCTCTTCTGCGTCCATTTCTCACACAACGCAATCCTAGTAATCCAACAGCACCGTATTCAACACCCAGCTCAAGCCAACAATTTCATGAATGGGCGCAGCACACTTCATTCCACAACCGCAATCCATCCAATAAGCGGTATTCAAACACTGCACGGCCGGCGACGACAGCGTCTTTTCATTCAATAAACAACTATGCTGCAGTCAAACATAGCGAAACCGCTCACATACCTCTTCTGCCGTCAGGATACAGAGGCACAATCTCCATTCAGTGTGGGCGTCAGCATTCCACGTGCGTTGTGCGGAGAAATCCTTTTCAATCCGCGATAATCAAAATCCAACAGTAGCCGATTTTCTGTTGACTAAATTGTAGCGGCAAACAGTAACCGCTAAGAGGCTGAGTAGAGGGAATAAAAGGTGACGCGTTTCCACTGCAGATCCAAATGATTTATTGTAACATTGAAATGAACATGATGGATGATGACTAAAAAGTAAACCAAAAGTAATGAAATAGAACAAAACTAAAATGAAATGAAAACGGTCAACAGAAAGTGAGCGTCCCAGCTACTCACCCCCTTCCAACCTGCTAACCACACACAAACTAACAGGTAATATGCACCTACAACAAATGACGTAACAAACTGAAAAAAAAAAACAAATTTCAAAATAAAAGACACCAACCTAAACCTGGCACCTACATTGTGTCAGGAGTGCACATCAATAATTCTGAATCAAAATGGGATGATCTAATTTGATCATAGAGACTATTCGGGCCAATGGTTCTAAGATCTACCCATGTAGGATTACGATGCTTTTGAGAAATCCAGCCCTGTTTTTTGTCGTTATCTCACATAAAAAGTCTGTTTCAATTTATTTGTGATCACAGAAATTCACAAAACAACTCCATAAAGGATTTTACGTGCAAAGGCTTACACATACCGGTTAATACCGAAAACCGGTGTATATTTTTGTTACAATGTTAATTTTTAATATACCGCCATACCAATGTATTAAATTACACAACGTTCGGAACGTTACACTGTGCCATCGACACTGTTTCAGACGGACCCTTTACAATGTTGCACTTCTAAGCAGCGATGGTGAGGCGAGGGTAAATCAAACAGCAGTGCTCTAGTGTTAATTACAGGGAAGGTGGATCCTGCAGAACAACAGCGTTATTTTCCTGTCAAATGTCGAGAGCACACTATTGTAGCGCAAATGTAAAATAATATAATGCGCGAGTGTGAATCTCTGCTCACACGCACTCTCAGATACACACTGCTCTTGTAAGAATAGACCTATTTTCTCTGGGCTCACTCAGAGAATCCTGCACTTAAAACATGTTCAGTGCAATCACGAATCTCTCCTCTTCCCCAGCTAACAATTTTAGGTTATAAGAATGTTTTCATAACATTCCCATTAAGTTATAAATACGTTATTTCTGAATGTTCTAGGAACATTTAAAACGTCCAGTTTTTTTATATAAAAAAAGTTTAGTCGTTGTATTAAAGTTCTAGCTTGGTTATAAGAATGTTATTAGAATGTTAAGAAATAACAATTTTAGGTTATACTGGACATTATTCTATTCTACAATATTAACTAATGACAATAAAATAGACCATCCTAAGCCAATTTATTGCAGTAATTCCTCTCTCAACCAGTAGAAAATGTTTTGAACACCTGATTATGCATGAAAAAAAAAAACCCGGAAAACTGGCTTAATTCTGAAAAAAAAAAACGCGATATCAATAATGGAGTCTGAGTGGAGAAACAGAGATATAAGTGGAGTAAACGGATGTGGCGCTATGTTGTTATATTTATGACTTATATAAGTCAGGACTGTCTTAACCTCAACAGCTCTCAACATTCTACTGGGATCTGACCAGATCTTAGCTTTTTGATATCCTTTACTGTCCCTGCTTTAACAGAAATACTTCTCTGTATTGCTAATGGAGACAGCTTGAAAAGCAACATATCGGAAACCAGTGACTTCAGAAATATAAATGTCTAACAGTTTTTGATTTTGGAAGAAGAATTGGAGCCAAGGTATTGTGTTGGAGCTGGGACAGCCAACTCCAGCCAATTTTACTTAGATAAAGTACAGAAACTTAATAAATGTACTTAAGTACAGTAACTAAGCATTTTTATTTTGGGAAACCTTAACTTTACTACATTCCAAAGCATATTATCGTACATTTTATTCCACTACATTTCATAAAAATCAGTCATTCCTCATTATTTTCAACAAAATCATCACCTACCTATCGTAACCATATTATCGTCTAAACAGGGACGGATTAAAACACAAATTAATGCCAGCGTCACACATCTTCCCTGCTGCCAGTGCCGTTTCAAATGATAGTGGTACTTTATAGCGTTCTTCTTAAAGGTACTCTATGGAGTTTTTAGCAGCCTCTAGCGGTGATGTTTCAGAATGCAACAAGAGTGCTCGAGCATTCACTACCGGCCACACGGAGACTTTCAACGCAGCGGCGAAATCATTACACAACATGCTGGAAACTAATGTAAACTCCCAAAGCAGTTACAAAAATAGCCTACTTTTATCAGCTTGACGTTGAACTAATGCTCTGTGCTCGTCCATGATAATGTTACAATAAACTGCATTTAGCCAAGCCGACATGTGATGTTATAGCATAAGCCATTTCACTAACTATTCGTGTATCTTTCACAATCAGCAATGTCAACATAGGTGAATGTATAATATGATAACGAAAATGGTTAGTGAAATAAACTGAACAGTTTCAGTGTATCAGTAAGATCGTAGGAAGTAACATTACTGTACTGAACGTGTCTGGAAATGTGTATAAACAATATGGTAGTAGTGGATGAGTGATGTTAGTCAGTAGATCTAGTAAATAAAATAAGTTCCTAAAGCACCGACTTTTTGTTATCCTGGAACATTCTTTTGTATTCATTTCATGTTTCATGTAGTTTACCTTGTTATTTCACTCAAGTTTACTAATATGTTGTACTAATATGTTGCCGATGTTGATCCGCGTTTTCATCCGGAGTCGATCAGATTCACGTTTTGCCTGACGAGCTACAGCAGATAAAACTTTTTTGTTTTTTATATTTATGTGGAGTTTGTGTTGGAGTCTGTGTTGTGCTGGTGGCAGGACGTTTTGGGGAGTTATCCGACTCCGTGTCGTCAGCTGAAGTACCGTTGGTTGCATGTTGAAATCAACGGGGTTACTGTGTCCATTTCTTTTACTGTCTATGGGTCGCATAGACTGTAGGATAGAGAGGCTCGGGAGCACGCATGCACGTCACATCCGAAGGATTTCACAGGAAATCCGACCCGGAGACCTCACACATAAATATGAATATTGGCCTTCAGAGGTAATAGCAAAACCCGAAAAGTGGATCATTGCAATGGGTAATTACAACCCCTTTAAACACAGGCAATAAAAAAAGGATTCATTTTATAAAAAAAGTTACATATAGGACCTTTAAATTGTTAACACATTTTTCCACAAATGATTATATTTGTCAAGAAACATTTATTTAGGTTTTCCTTATTTTTTATCTACACATAAGGTATATTTTATTATTTTAATTATCAGTAATTATCAGTACTAGTTATCAGTGTATGACAAGTTTGCTAATAAAATTTAATTCTGACACCGTGATAACTATATCAACATCCTGACGTCTCACGTTTTTTGGTATTCACTATTTTTGGCCAAAGTAATATTGCAGCAACCAAAGGCTCACAATGTTTGACAATTTTAAACAAACCACCGTCGACAGAAGCATTATGTTTTATTTATGCTTGTGTCATGATGTGGATTTGTGTGTTTCCATTATTAGTGGTTCCCCGTCTATTATTTGTCCCAGGTGTTTCTCATTTCTCACGCCCCCTTGTTATCTTCTCTAGCTCGTTTGTCCTTGATTATTTAAGCCCTGTGTTTCTGCCCTGTCTTTGTTGGTTGTTGAATTTATGTATGTTTCGTTGGTATCTTTTGATTCCGAGTTTTGTTCAAGTCTATGTACCCTGTTCCTGTGTTTGATTAAAAAAGCTACAGTGCGTCTGGACCCAGCCTCAGCACTCTTTCTCCGCACAACGTCACAGCTTGTAAGGCTACTTTGCAGAGCAATCTCTTGTAGTGTTATCCACTTATTATAAGTGTTTTTGGTATTGTTGTATGGGCTTGGCTCATAAATTGACCCAGTCAATAAAAAAGGCCAATTGCTGTTTGTGATATTGTGGTCTTATTTTCAATATAAAACATTTAGATCTATTTAGGTTTATTATGATTTTGGTCTTCTTTGCTGTTTTTTTTTTTTTTTCTAGCAGGATCTGGCAACATGAATGAGTCAAGGCTCGTATTTCCTTCCCTATAATTTTCTTGAACCACGCATACAGAAGTGAGACACATATCTAATGCGAGTTTATTATGTCATTAACAAAGTTGTTGTATACTACAAATACTGATATTAATCCATTACTAAAAGATGTTAAATGTTAGCAAAAAATTATTCATGGCTTACATGCAATGAAATTGCACTCTATTAAAATGGCATTATCAGTGATTGCACAATGAAATGTACAAAATTCATCTCTATAGAAGTTTACTCATCTATAATGAGTTTCTGAGAACCCCAGAATTGTGAAAAGGTTTAACTGAAATATTGAGGGTAGAGGGGGATAAAACTGTATTTCACACAACAGCAAACAGCATAATATTAAAAAAAATCACACTTACTATGTCGGATGGAACCACTCTTTGCCTTTTTATTTCGGGAACAGTAAGAGGAACAGTAACTCACTTACTCATCTTCAGAGCAGTCTTTCTGCAAAACACACAAAAGAAGTAGTTATGACCATATCAGTCCCCTCTATCATAAGAAATGCTGAAGAGTTCCAACTTAAAATATGTAATTTCTGATGGCAAAATATGTTTATTTGCATTGTCCTCATTCAAATTTTTAAACAAAGATATGAACAGTGCTTGAAAATAGACATTTGACAGAACACTTTGCCCGAGTTCAAAAAACTTTCTTAAAATCACAAACAAAACTCTCATGATTAATTAGCATTAGTTCTAGCCTAGGTTAAATGCATCTTCTCATCTGTTCACACAATGTATTTTAATGCACAGATGCCTCAACTAAATATCAATATCAACTCAATCCCCACAAAAAGAACAAGCGTATAAACTTACCTTACTGTGTAATTTTGAAATGAAGCTTTAGGATTTGATGGCTATATGGAGGCACCCTACCTAGAAAATCTGTAAGAGTATAATACAAATAAATGTCGCATAAAATATTAAGATTTCAATCAAGGTTCATATCAGTAATATCATGTGGTGGTTTTGAGACCACATACTGCAATTGTCCACATGATGCATTTCTTTTGCCTTCATTGTTAAGTAGCGTGTGTTGCTCAAATGGCAGCTTCCTTTTGTTGCAAAATACTGTAAAGATGTGATGACTACAAGGCCCATAATGTATGGAATGCCAAAGCTGACTTAATTAAAAATAAATAAATGCATAAATAATTATACGAAGAAATGTAAAAAAGCAAAAATACATAAATAAATACAGAAATAAATATATAAAGAAATGTAAAAAAGTACAAATAAATGAGTATTTATACTTTTATTTCCCTATTTATGTATAATTGTATTTTTTCACACATTTATTTATTTCTACATTTATTTATTTATTTCCACTTTTATTTATTTCTACATTCATTTATGTTTTTATGTCTACATTTATTTATTTTCACATTAATTTATTTCCACATTAATTTATTCCCACATTTATTTATTTCCACATTTATCTATTCCAACATTTCTTTGTCCGTATACTAATGAGGGAGGCGTGTTTTAACTCAGACATGAGCAATCGATCTCAGAGTGGCAGTGCTGAAGCTTTGAGGCCACAGTGACACCTTGTGGAATGTGACCAAACGAAACGCAAGAGCTGTGTGGGCAATATCACATTTTAAGTCGTGTATATCACCCTAACTGTATGTAGGGTAGGCTATATGGGGTTAACACGTGAATATGATAGCTGATAGCTTGCTTTTGGCTTGTGATTATTGACGATGAGACTCGCACACCAGCACAGAACACAGAGAGAAACCAGCGCACATTTCACTGACTCCCACGCAAGCATATTGATCAATGAGTTTGAAACGTCCGCGGTTACATTCGCGTTTCCTAATTTCGTATGGATAACAGGTGACAATTCAAATGCTTAAAACGCAACCCATATTTAAATACTGCTCTTAGATAGATATTGATTGATCACAGTCATCAATTTTGAATTATTCTTAAATCAAACAAAAGTGGCTCATTTAAACGCAGTGAGCCACACATCTCACGCATTGGAGCATGAAGCATCCTGCCCATGGTGATATTTGCCCCTGTAAATTGATTTTATATCTACCCAACCTTATTAAATAGGTAGGCTAGGCTGTACATCACCATATATGTCAAGTTCTTCATATTAATCGATAAACTCCTCAGTTATAATAATAATAAGGCACTATGGCTGTTATCATTAAAATCAAATTAACAAAAGTCATTAAAAGTGAAAATCTTAATACAAAATGCATGGCGTGAGATGCGTGGCTGGCTGCGTTTGATTTTAGAATAATTCAAAATGTATGTCTTGTGATTAATCAGTATCTAAGAGCAGCATCTAAATATGGGTTGTTGCGTTTTAAACATTTGAATTGTCATCTGTTATGCATACGAAATTAGGAAAACGTGGATGTAAACCGCGTATTGAGTTGAAACTCATTGATCAATGCTTGCGAGGGAGTCAGTGAACTGTGCGCTGGTGTGCGAGTCTCATCGACAATAAACGCAAGCTATCAGTATGGAGCGAAGTATGTGCCTAAACCTCACACACAAACAAAACGTGTTTTACTCACACCCAATGATTCACAAACAAACTCAGTGTGGTTTGTAAATACAAAACATCACTCACAAACTAATGCATATTGTTCTGCAAATAAAAAACGTACCTATCAAACAAATACAGTATGTTTTACATATAGAAACGTATTTCTTCAATGACCAAAATATCCTGCAAGTACAAACTAAAATCTTTGAAAGTACAAAACAAAATTCTACACGTACAAAACAAAATTCTACAAGTACAAAGCAAAATTCTACAAGTACAAAGCAAAATTCTACAAGTACAAAACAAAATTCTACAACTACAAAACAGAATTCTACAAGTACGAAAAACTGTCACGTGACTTTTGGCACTATTTTTCTGCGTCCAGGCAGAATCAGATTTTCTCACAAATACAGTGGAACAACGTCCTCTTCTAGAACAGTAGATGGCGCTAAGATAAGGGATCAATTTGCTCGCCTTTGCCCATGGGAAAATGAGCGGTGAACAGGTGTGTTTCTGTCCAACTTTATCTATAATTAACCTTATTGAGGTTTTGGAAAATGTTTATTATATAGACAGAAATCCACATTAGCACTTAGTAGTAAAGTACTCCACTCTAGGATACGGGAATCTATAAACTGAAAGCTGCCATCATGTTGCTTTTACTTTTTGTAAAAATGTTTCATTTACTGAATGACTCTATTTCTTTCGTTCTCCGTAAATTAATGAGAACATTTCATTTAATTGAAAGGGTCCCACTTATTCATTAATTTTGTTGGAATTCAGTCAGCGTAACTGTTAATGTAATAAAATAATGAATGAACAAATCAAACAATATACAGTTGTTTCTTCCCTGTGATGTATTGTCCAAATTATTATTTTGGACAGACAAATGAAACCCTCCTTTCAATTAAATTAAATGTTTTCATTATTAAGAACGAAACGAAAGTAATAGATTCGTTCAGTGTAGGCTATACATAATCACTACTTTAGTCATTTCACACGCGTCTTGTAGGCTAGATTATTAATCCTGGCGCGTTCACGGCGAAGATCGCGAGTCAGCATTGTCAACTTCATGTTTTCAGCCGACACACTGACAAAGATACACTTGTTTATTAATAAACAATTAAAATATCTTCTTGCTATATTTTACATAGCCTATTCATAATCATTTGCCGGTTCTTTGTGACAGCTTTAAGGTGCTTTATTGGCAGTGCCACCCTACATGTTACACGCGTCACCACCGCATCACCGCACCCACCAGAATAGGCCAGTTTAGTAAACAGAATTAGATGGCCACAATTCTTACACTTCTAAAAGGCAATTCAATGCGGATGTAATCCCTCAGATTGAGTAGCTAATGTAATGGAATACGTTACAAATGACATTTTGGGGCATTTATTCTGTAACGAAATACGTTTTCCCAACACTGCCTACTACAGCTGAGGAAAGTGAGCGGTGAACGGTGTGTTTCTGTATTACTTTATATAATTAACCTTATTGAGGTTTTCTTTTGCAAAATGTTAATTATTTCTTGACAAAAATCCATATTACCGCTATTAGCACTTCACTCTCTCTAGGGGAATCTAGGCTGAAATCTATGTCATATGTTGCTTTAAAAAATAATATTAGGCTAATAATCTACATAAGACGCGTGTGAAATGACTAAATTAGTGATTATGTTCACTGAACGAATCTATTACTTTCGTTCTCCATACATTAATGAGACCATTTAATTTAATTGAAAGGAGGGTTTCATTTGTCTGTCCAAAATAATAATTTGGACAATACATCACAAGGAAGAAACAACTGTAGTCTGTAGGCCTATATTGTTTTGTTCATTCATTATTTTATTACATTAACAGTTACGCTGACTGAATTCCAACTAAATTAATGAATAAGTGGGACCCTTTCAATTAAATGAAATTAATTCTCATTAATTTACGGAGAACGAAAGAAATAGAGTCATTCAGTAAATGAAACATTTTTACAAAAAGTAAAAGCAACATGATGGCAGCTTTCAGCTTATAGATTCCCGTATCCTAGAGTGGAGTACGTTACTACTAAGTGCTAATGTGGATTTATGTCTATATAATAAACATTTTCCAAAACCTCAATAAGGTTAATTATAGATAAAGTTGGACAGAAACACACCTGTTCACCGCTCATTTTCCCATGGGCAAAGGCGAGCAAATTGATCCCTTATCTTAGCGCCATCTACTGTTCTAGAAGAGGAAGTTGTTCCACTGTATTTGTGAGAAAATCTGATTCTGCCTGGACGCGGAAAAATAGTGCCAAAAGTCACGTGACAGTTTTTCGTACTTGTAGAATTCTGTTTTGTAGTTGTAGAATTCTGTTTTGTACTTGTAGAATTTTGTTTTGTACTTGTAGAATTTTGCTTTGTACTTGTAGAATTTTGCTTTGTACTTGTAGAATTTTGTTTTGTACTTTCAAAGATTTTAGTTTGTACTTGCAGGATATTTTGGTCATTGAAGAAATACGTTTCTATGTATATGTAAAACATACTGTATTTGTTTGATAGGTACGTTTTTTATTTGCAGACAATATGCATTAGTTTGTGAGTGATGTTTTGTATTTACAAACCACACTGAGTTTGTTTGTGAATCATTGGGTGTGAGTAAAACACGTTTTGTTTGTGTGTGAGGTTTAGGCACATACTTCGCTCCATATATCAGCCCTATCCACCATGTTTAGGCCTACATTGTTATTAATAGTGGATACTTTCATGCACTGTCATGTCCAAGTATCTGCTATCAGACCCGCTGAAGTGCAGTTTCTGTTCATGTGTGCTATCCTTCCCCACATACAGTTAGGGTGAAATACATGACTTAAAATGTGATATTGCCTAAACAGCTCTTGCGCTTCGTTTGGTCACACACCACAAGGTGTCACTGTGGCCTCAAAGCTTAAGAACTGCCACTCTGAGCTCGATTGCTGAGGTCTGAGTTAAAACACGCCCCCCTCATTAACATACGAAGAAAAAAATTGTTGGATAAATAAATGTGGAAATAATGAAACGTGGAAATAAATAAATATAGAAATAAATAGATGTGAAAATAAAGAAATGTAGACATAAAAACATAAATACTGAAATAAATGTGGAAATAAATAAAAGTTGAAATAAATAAATGAATAAATGTATAAAAATAAATGTGTGAAAAAATACAATTATACATAAATATGGTAATAAAAGTATAAATACTCAGTTATTTACACTTTTTTTACATTTCTTTGCATATTTATTTATATATTTATTTATGTATTTTTGCTTTTTTACATTTCTTCGTACATTTATTTATGTATTTATTTATTTTTAATTTAGTCAGCTTTGGCATTCCATAATAATGAGGACAATTTCAATAAGTGCTATTAAAGGCCAGCAGCAGAGAATCCTTCCTAGATGTTTCATGAACAAACCTATGTCACTGGTTGCAAAGAGTCTATACCATGCATATCACACATCTATGCATAGTACTCCAGGTTAACAAACTATTGGCTAAACAGATTTCCATCCAAAAAGTCAGAACATGAAGGTAGGTAGATGACATGATAGTTTTGTAGACAGTTTCTTTAAACATCAATTGCAAAAAAGCACCATAGAAATGGTCCATGTGGCTGGTGTACAACACTAACACAAAGCTACGATAAAAAAAGACTATAGCGCACCAGTCAAATTAACCATAGTATTTTATGATACCTTTGAGGTGTTTTTCGAGCTTGAAATTTAGAAAGAACTATACTATTTTGTTGTCGTTGTCGATTCTCTCTAAAGCTGCTTTTTAAGTGCTTATGATGACAAACGACAAATGATTGTTCCACACTGTAAAAAATAAAACCGTCATTTTTATTGGTAAAAACCGGCAGCTGTGGTTGCCAGAACTTTACCGTTAAAAATACGGTAGGAACCGTATTTCATTTTCTGATAAAATGTTGGTTTACCAACCTTTTGAAAAATGTATATTTTGCACCATTGTAATACTCTGACAACCAACAATCATCACAGCAGTGATGAGAATTACATGAGCAATCAAAGCTCTTCACAAGCAGTCTTCTTATAGAAGGATAATATGAAGAAGCTGCACAGTATCATTCACACAAACATTAAACACCATCATGGTAACAAACATGAAATTTAAAAAATGCAATAAACATTAATTTAACAACATTAAATGTAACATAAAACCCTAATGAACAACTGATTAGAAAATAAACAAGAAAACTATGAGGAACCATAATTATTTCAACAAAAATACATAAAGTGTGAAGTGTCACACAGGGAATTGGAATGTCAATTTATGGTTTTTCACTGTAAATTATGCAATGAGTTGTTCTTTTTCACTTTCAAAAAATGTAAATTTAACAGTATTTCACAGTAAAATTATTTCACAGTCATTAACGTATATAGTACGGAAACTTTCTGTTAACATTAACAGTTTTGCACTGTAGCATTTTTAAAGACTTTTACCGTTAAAAATCACGATTATTTTTTACAGTGCCAAACCTATAGGTAATTTGTTCTTCTGTTGTGTCCAAAACAACATTGGACACTGACTTTCATGGCATAGCCAAAACATATGATTTTGTATATATATATATATATATATATATATATATATATATATATACATGTATATATATATATATATATATATATATATATATATATATATCACTCAATGTCTGGCTAAACACTATATATTAGTAATTTTTCAATATTGATATTTTCAGTCAACAAAACCATAACAAATTGGCAGAGGTGGCAAAATGTCTGCTCAATTCAACTTCCCAAACAATGTTATTCACTGTATCTCACTGTTAAATGGGGCAAGTCTGAACTTGCCAAAAGGAAAATCAGATTCACATTCCTCAGCTATTCTTAGGCTAAATTATAAAAGTAACGGTATACCTATACAGAACAATGAAAATATTGTCTTTGAAAAGCCAGTGTTTGGAGGTGATGATTCTGAACATGATGTATCCAATGATAAGCCTCATATGATCAGACATTTGAAGAAGATAATAGGAGGATGGACTAAATCCTTGTTTATCAGCAGACATGCCATGACATGGTTAGCATGCTTAAATCTGTTTGACATATTTGATTTACATATACAAGTAAAAACCTGTTAAAGGCATTGTCAAACAAGCCACCTCATGACGTCAAGAGGACAAGAGAATCAAACTAAATTACAGAATTATAATTTGTACTTTTCTACATATATTAACGATAGGGCCAGTTGATTTAATCTACATCAAGTCATGTGATTCCTATTTTTTCTCTTCAGCTGGTTGTGTTATTCAAGTTTGTGAAAATAGCGCTGCAGCTATAGTTTGGAGTAGTTACTGCAATAGGGGGCAGGGCACAGGGGGCATTAGGATCACTTTATTTAAAACAAAATTCACATTTAAATGAGCTAAAATAACAACGGATCAAGATATGTCTGGTTATTTCTAAAGGATATAGCCTACATCTTTCAAATTATGCAAAGCTCTAAATAGGGTAGAAATTGTGACTATACAACAATTATAGACTAACAACTATACAACGTTACTATACAACACGTGGGCATATTTTACTGTATATTTGCCTCGATTAGAGACCTCAATGTTCATGGTGTGGCACTCATGTAATGTTACATTGTCTACATTGCGCCTCTGTTGTCACGTTGCATAACTTATCTGAAACCACTTTAATTCGATTTCACAACCGCTTCCTCAAAATTGAAAAATTCACAAATACAAAAGTCACTCCATTTTCTAAAGCAGTAAGTTTTTGAAGCATAGATTTATAAAACAGTTACATTGCCCCGTCGCAAACAGTAGCCTATCGGATAACAAACAACAATAGTGAGACTAGGCTAAGTGGCTGAACCCATGACAATATGGGTTGTCGTTAACTTTGTATCTCTACATTTGTTTACGTTTTAGCTCAGCTAAATATATCTAATAAAAAGCGGGTTAAATTCACTTTTAACAGGGTCCATTCGTGTTGCCTCACCTAACAGAAATGAGTGCACGTCCTCCAGAAGCGCTCCAAGATAGTGACTCTTTCTCTTCTGTGCCGTGGGGGCTCCAGCACCATGCGTTTTGCTTTTCTTTCATTTACACATTACTGATTTAGCAGGGAAACCCGAATCGTTTGGGACTCATTTAAAAGAAGTTTAACCATTTAAAAAGGTATATAAACGTTGTAATTGTATGTGTAGTAAGTTGCTAGTATGCTTAAAATATGTTCATGAAAAAGAAAGTGTTGCGAGAAAGCCGGGTTCATTTTCTCCTCCCTTCCTGCCGCGCTTCCTACATGACGTCGAATGGGAAATGGGAGAGTTCTCCGCTCATCTACACCCTGGATCACTGGATCAGTTTACACACTTATTTTATTTATTTTTTTATTATCAAACTTTATTAAGCTTTTTTTTATTAGCCTATTATTACTGATTTTAGAGATCATCAAGAACGAAAAAAATAATATGTTACAAATACCAGTGAGCTGCCTGCCTATATCTAGACAATATTTTAAATATTAATTAGAGCACTCATTCAAAACTCTACTTATAGCTATAGAGTATTGCACTCTTTGCTGAACAACATAAACTAAAGACTGCAGTTGGACTGTGTCTAATACACTGTAATCTCAATTGATATATTAGTTTTCCTGTAATCCTCAAATATGTATTGTTAAACTTTTCCCACTGGCTTTTATTTAATAAATGCCTTTCCAGATGTTCTGTTCAGCTTCAATATAACCCTATTAAAGAAAGTTGGGCCTTTAAAGGCACAATATTTTTTTTTTTTCTGCTTTGAAAATGAAGAGTTCAGATGCAAAAGCCTCTAAATGCCATTTGAAATTTTCTTCTTTAATGATGATTTTGATCAAACTTGTATATTTAAGTTCAGTAATTTCACTTAAATGGCAATGATAATTACTTATTAATTGTTATTTAAGTGAAATTACTGAACTTAAATATACAAGTTTGATAAAAATCATCATTAAAGAAGAAAATTTCAAATGGCATTTAGAGGCTTTTGCATCTGAACTCTTCAAATAGCAAAAATAACTATATTTCTATTAGATACTTAACATTATCCCAACAGTTTCCACAAACTTTCAAATCCGGAGAAATGTACAGCACGGGCCGTTTCTTTATTTTTATTTATATATTTTTTATTATTATTAATATTATTATTTTAAATATAACTACAACATTTCAGTCTTTCCAGTTCACATTCATTATAACAGTATCTATGCAATACATTAAAGGTTGAAAAACAGAGAAAAAAATAAGAAAAATGACAAATAGTTCTAGTGACATATTAACCATTAAAAATTTCTGAATGAATGTTCATTACTGATATGCATTTCTTGATTTTAATTAAATTAAGAGACTTAAAATAAAAATCCACCTCTATCAAAAACAACTTAAAGGGGTGGTTTACTGCTTTTTTTCTTTGCATGATTGTGTTTATGGGGTGCAACATGTATTTGTGGTTTTTCTTTTTTTAAAGCCTTATTTTTCATAAAATTCACCTTTATTGTAAGCCGCGTTCTCCTCTCTCATCTGAACCATAGACAGTATAAGAAATGGACAGAGCCATCTCATTGGAACTCCATTGAGACGATTGAAGCCCGTTTTTGGCGATTTTTTAGCACTTCTGTCCCTGACGCGCAGACTCAAACAGAACTTGACGACGTAGATGTGACGAGAGCAAACCGTCTGTCTTCTAGTGCTGTGGCACGAGAAATTTGAATCATTCGCTTCTGAAACTTGCAGAGCCGAGAGTGTGAGTAGGAGCTGTCCATGAGCTAGGAGCAGGAGACACTTTTGCTAGGTATTCTGATTAATTATTTTGTCATTTTGCCTCCACGTTGCCCCGATTGCGCGTGAGCTTCTCCTCCTGTCCATACGGTAATCTCTCTACTGTGCGACAGAGAGTCGCGTGGGTATGACGCAATCGTTAGCCTACTTTCACTAAAACTGCTTCTACGGGGCCATAACATAAGCTACAAGGTAATGGAGCCTTTCATACATTGTCGTGTTTCTTTAGAAATAAATAAAGGACAAATGGGGTCTTCAAACGCCTCAGAGGTAAAGTTATTTGCTGTCAAAGTGACGCCGAAATGAATGGGAGTCAATGGAAATGCTAACGCAAGTGAAGTTCTGCCACAAGATGTCAGCTCCCGCGAGGCTTCAACTTCCGGTCGATGGATTACCCCTTTGATCTGAACGAGCGGGAGGCCCCTCGGGCGGCCAGGGCGGTGAAGACCCCTTGGGCGGCCAGGGCGGAGCAGACCCCTTGGGCGGCCAGGGCGGAGCAGACCCCTTGGCCGGCAAGGGCGGAGCAGACCCTCTCAGGACCAGACACTGGCTCAGGAACAGAAATGGTCACAAGGACAGACACAAACAGAGAAACAAACACTGGGTCTGGAACAGACATTGGCTCCAGCTCTGGAGCAGGCACTGGCTCTGCCTCCGGCTCTGGAACAGGCACAGGCACTGGCTCTGCCTCCAGCTCTGGAACAGCAAACACTGGCTCTGCCTCCGGCTCTGGAACAGCAAACACTGGCTCTGCCTCCGGCTCTGGAACAGCAAACACTGGCTCTGCCTCCGGCTCTGGAACAGCAAACACTGGCTCAGGAACAAACACAGACATGGGCACAGGACATGGGCACAGAAGCAACGTGAACAGTCTCTGGCTGGGCAGAAGCGACAAGAACAGTCTCTGGCTGGACGTGGCTGACGTGAAGCTCTGGCTGGATGTGGCTGACGTGAAGCTCTGGCTGGACGCGGCTGACGTGAAGCTCCGGCTGGGCAGGGCAGACGTGGAGCGAAGGTTCGGAAGACACGACATGAACGGTCTCTGGATCGTTAACAGGACAAGATAAGGATTTACAGATGGCCTCCATAGCCGTGACAAGACAGGACAAAGATTCATAAACAGTTACCTTTGACACCTCCAAAGGTGGTAGCATCAAGAATCTACAGTGGTAGCATCAAGAATCTGGTAAAGTTCATTAACAGGACAGGTACCGTGCACATCTATGATACTTTTGACCATGACATGACAGGCTGAGAGGACATTGCTGGGCGTAACCACCATACAAGTGGCTGAAGCAAACACCACCGCTTCAAGAGGTTCTGCAGCACGTGCCGCCACCTCTGGATTAACTGCAGCGGGTGCCTTAGCCTGGGGCAGTTCTGAGGTGGTATACGCAGCCCAAATGCAACATAGAGCGATCCCCATCATGGGGAGCGCTTCTGACAGGGTAATCGGTGCAGGATATGAAGGATCAAATTGAGTGGGCTTGGGGATACTAGCTGCGCGTGCAGACACCAGTGGTGCATCCCTCACACTGGAAACCAGGCTGGGAAATCGAAGCACTGACCTTGAATATCTGGGTGTGGCAGACAGGATGTGAGAAGATTCTGGCTGGTCAGTGGTGACATGATGAGACTCTGGAAAATCAACTGTGACTTGGCTTGACTCGTGATGATCAACTGTGACTCGGCTTGACTCATGACGATCAACAGTGACTAGTCTTGACTCGTGACAATCAACTGTGACTTGGCTTGACTCGTGACAATCAATTGTGACTTGTCGGGGCTATAGAAGATCAGCTGCGATGTAACGGGGCTCTGGAAGATCTGTTGAGATCTAACAAGGCTCTGGAAGATCTGTTGAGACGGAACAAGGCTCTGGGAGATCTGTTGAGACGGAACAAGGCTCTGGAAGATCTGTTGCTATAGGCACAGAGGTAATGGTGCATTCTTCCGTTGACCCCCACTGTGAAAGACGAGCCAATTAACAGAAGAGCATAATCTAAAAAGTGACAGAGCGATGTACGAGGACCCTCAAGGATAACTTGAGATCTTAGGAGTTGATTTATGCCATCACAAAAAAGTCAATGAGAACGGAATCAGGCAGATCAGAAAAATATGCTAAATCCAAAAACTCCTGAATATATGCCTCTAGAGGTCTCATACCCTGCTTTAGGGCAAGTAATCATTTTGCAAGGTTCATACCTGACCAGTGTTCTTCAGAAAAGCCGCTGGATCCTTGTTTGGCCGGATATTCTGTAACGGAACAAACCAGAGGAGAGACATGCAGATCCATTCGCAAGGCTTTATTCCAAAAACGTAGTCTTAGTACAGGCAAGGTCAATGAACAGCAGACAGGTATGGCAGAGGGGTCCGTGTACGTTTTGATAGTTTGTTTTTTCGTTTGAAACAAAAAACAAAATAACGAGAAACCACCCTTTTTTCGTTTGTTTCAAACCAAAAACAAAGAAACCGGAAAAAAAGAGCCGTTTCCCCGTTTTTGGTTCTGAATCCAAAAACGAAAAACGAAAAAAACAAAATCAAATAACAGTCCGATTTTGGTTTTTTGAAATTCCTTTTTCCATTTTCCGTTTGAAGATCTACATTAAAACACAGACAGGTTGGTCACGTGACCCGGAAGTAATAGTATATATGGAATATCAAAATAAAAGCAAGCTTTTAGAACGGTCATAATATGCAGCACTTATACCCTATGGAAGCTTGTTTCCGCCACTGAATAAAAAAATATAATAAATAATTGTGACTTTTTATCTCACAATTCTGACTTTTTTTCTCACAATTCTGACTTTTTTTCTCACAATTGCGAGTTTATATCTCACAATTCTGACTTTATTTCTCAGAATTGCGTGATATAAAGTCGCAATTGCGAGTTATAAAGTCAGAATTGTGTGTTATAAAGTCAGAATTGCGAGATATAAAGTCAGAATTTCGAGATATAAAGTCAGAATTGTGTGATATAAAGTCGCAATTCTGAGAAAAAAAGACAGAAGTGTGACTTTTTTTCTCACAATTGCGAGTTTACATCTCGCAATTCTGACTTTATAACACATAATTGCGAGTTTATATGTCGAAATTCTGACATCTTTTCTCAGAATTGTGAGATATAAACTCGCAATTGCGACTTATTAGGCCAATTCTAAGGGGAAAAAAAGACTAACTTTTTTCCCCCTCAGAATAGTTTAAATCTCACAATTCTGACTTTATATCATGCATTTCTGACTTTATAACACGCAATTGCGACTTTATATCTAGCAATTCTGACTTCATATCTCGCAATTCTGACTTTATATCTTGCAATTCTGACTTTATATCTTGCAATTCTGACTTATAACTCGCAATTCTGACTTCATATCTCGCAATTCTGACTTTATATCACGCAATTCTGACTTTATATCTCGCACTTGCGACTTTATATCACGCAATTCTGACTTTATATCTCGCAATTGCGACTTTATAT